TTGCAAAACAATGGCCCCTCAAAGAGGTCCCTGGAACCTGTGAGTGAATATTACCTCATATGGCAAAAGGGATTTTGCAGATGTGATTAAGGAACTTGAGAAGGGGAGATTACCCTGGGTCATTTGGGTGGGGCCAATGTAATCCTAGGGTCCTTATGGGAGGGAGGCTGGAAGGTCAGAGTTGGAGACGGAGCTGTGACAACAGAAGCAGAGGTCGCACAGAGAGGTAGGTTTGGAGATCCTCTACTGCTGGCCTTGGAGGTAAAGCAAGGGGCCCTGAGCCAAGGATGCAGGTGGCCCCTAGGGACTAGGAAGGCCGGGAGCACACCACCCTTGCTGGTCTATTTTAGACCTCTGACCTCCAGAAATGTAAGGTAATAAATGTGTGCTGCTTTAAATTTGTGCAGCAATAGGAACCTAATACACCATCCAGCACAAAGCTTAGCTTTGTTCTTCCAAGGACTGGGGAAGAAACCCATCTGCTCAGGAAGCTGAAGATGCCATAAACCACGGTGTAAGGTAACATCTGAAAGTCAAGGGAGCTGGAGCAGGGAGAGCCGGGGTGCGCGAAGTGTGGCTGCCAGCTGACACAAACAACTCCTCCCAGCAGATCGCACTCCACACCTTTCCTCCTACACTCACAGGATGGAGCATGGACTAATTCTCTCTTTCAAGACACCTATTAATATTATTACTATGTAAAGATGGGGTCTGCTCTGTTGCCCAGAGTGGTCTCCGACTCCTGGGCTCAAGTGATCTCCTGCTCAGCCTCCTTAGTAGCTGGGACAGCAGATGTGCACCACTGCACCTGGCTAGGATGCCTACTATTTGGTACACCTTTTTATCTTTTTTTTTGAGACACAGTCTTGCTCTGTTGTCCTGTCTAGACTGCTGTAGAATCAGCCTAACTCACGGCAACCTCAAACTCCTGGGCTCAAGTGATCCTCCTGCCTCAGCCTCCCGAGTAGCTGGGACTACAGGTGTGTGCCATGATGTCCTGCTAATTTTTCTATTTTTTGTAGAGACAGGGTGTCAGGCTGGTCTCAAACTCCTGAGCTCAAGCGATCCTCCCACCTCGGCCTCCCAGGGTGCTGGGATTACAGGTGTGAGCCACTGAGCCCAGCAGTGCCTCTTTTTATTAAAAACATGAAACACCAATTCACACGAAGGTCCTAATAACTTATTGGTTTTCAGAGTCATTAGCGTTTAAAGAAGAACATGCCCACAGAGGGTAATTCGGACCCTACAGAACACATCTCAGCCAGCTCCTTCACAGGGAGAAGCCATGGGAAAATGCAGGCAGAGGTCGGGGTGATGCTTCGACAAGATAAGAGACAAGGAAGATGCCAGCAAACCACCAGAAGCCAGGAGACAGGCCTGGGACAGTCTCTCTCACAGCCTCAGAAGGAACCAACCCTGCCGGCACCTTGATCTCAGGCATCTAGCCTCCAAAACTGGGAGACAGTGAATTTCTGTTTAAGCCTCCAGGAGACTAATGCAGATGCCTGCAGACGCTGGGCAGGCACGGAGCTGAGTGGAAGGGCATGCCTCCCCATCAAGAGGGCTCTGGAAGCTAATTACCCTGAGTTGCAGCAGGGGGTGGCAGGCCTGGAGGTGAGGGTGTAGGAGGCTGAGCCCAGAGGCCCAGAAGAGACCTGGCTCCCAGCCCCAGCAAGAATGCCCACAAGGACAAGAAGACCCCTCCCCCAAAGGGTCACCCCCCCACACACACACACCCAGAGCAGTCAAACCACTGGAGAGAGACAGAAACTCAGGCCAGGTGCACACTCCCTGCAAGCAGCCAAGAATCCTACATGACCAGTCAGCTCCAGACCCACGTGGGGCACCTGGCACACCCACCCCTGCCCTGCCCCGGCCCGCCCCGATGCCTGGCATGCTTCACCTGGAAACACATCTAGGAAACTGACAGAATGGAAAGCCATGTCAGGGGCGGCCCTAGAACACATGTCCAACACAGAGTTTGCTGAGCTGGACAGCTCTGGTCTCCTGCCCTTGCAATCTCTATGACAGTAAAGTACAGTAAAAGGGACAGAAGTTGAGGTCAAGGGAAGCCTGAGGCCATGCAATTAGGGAGCTGAGATCTCCCAGGGAAAGCAGCTTCTGGGAAGGGTGAGACAGAATCCTCTCCTCATAAAAGCCAGTGACTTGCCATCTGTCAGCTCTGAGCCCAGGATTCTGGAGAGCCAGGCCTGGCCAGTGGCTGCTTTCTTTGTTTGAACAAAGAAAAAGGGGGGTTCTCAGGTGTGTCTCCCTGGGGAGGCTGCCTACGGGAGGGGAAGCTAGGGGAGACAGAAAGACAATCCCTCTCACCCCTGAGACAGGTATTACCTGCAAGCTAAGTTTGGTGATCAAGACTTTGCCAGCCCAAGCCTGGTGCCAGGCCCACGGTGGGCCTTGCTGGGCGCAGTGGCTGCCAAGCTCTCCCGGGCTTCATTAACCAGGACCTGGAGGAGGGCTCAGAGTTGCTCCCTCTTGCTGGTGGAGACTGCCCAGCTGTGTGTGGCAAGCAATGCAGCAGCCAACAGACACCTACACTTCAGGGAGAAGCCTGGGCGCTCTGGGTGGACCCGGCCTCCAGGCTGGGGGTCGGGGCTCCCTTGGGAACTGGTCTGCGGGCTTGGGCAAGATCTTTTACTTTTCGGGGTTTCGGTTCCTCCAACTGTCAAAAGGGGAACAGCGTCTTGCTCTTGCCCAATCCTATCTCTTGGGCCAGGGATGCAGAGGAGGGGAGAGAGGATAAAGTTCTTGAGAAAGGCGGCCGGTGGGGGAGGTGGATGGCAAGAATGAGGGGGACAGAGCAGAGGCCTTGGAGGTGAGGGGGGCTGCGGGGGCATGCCAGGGAGGACAGAGGAGCCATTATGCGGACTGGAACAGGGGCCAGAGGGCTCTGCCCTTGCCTGCCTCCCACTGGGCCTCCCAGAGCGGGAGGGCAGCTGGCCCCAGGCTGCGGAGCCCAGCCGGCTGCCCGTCTCCCCTCGCCAACTCGGTTTCCAGCCAACCCCGCCCCCGCCCGCTCGCGGACTCCAGGGGCTCCAGTGGGGGGGGGGCGCGGGGGCCGCGTGCCAGGCGGGCTTTATCACCACGAACTCACGTCTTCCCTTCCCCGGGCCTCAGTTTCGCCCTTTAGGCTCTAAGGCTAATGATGCCGGCCTTTCAGGCCAGATGGACACATCCTTCCGAGCGGGGAGCGGGGGGCAGCGGGCGAAGCCGCCCGGCCGGTCGCCGCAGCTAGCCCCCCGCAGGGCTGAGGTCTCCGGGACACAGGCTCGGACTCCCGTCTTCTAGGCGCCAAAGCCCGGACCTGGACCCTAGCCCTCGCTGGGAGGATGGGAGGGAAAGAAGGAAGAGGAGGGGCGGGCGGATCCGGCCCCGGGCTCCCGCGCTGAGCCCCCTGCTCCCGCCTGGGCTCGCGTCCCCGCAGCGCGTGACCGCGCCACTGCGACTGCAGCGCTGCCCTCCCCCGCCCGCGCCGGATTCCTGGGGGTGGGGGTGGGGGTGGGGGTGGGGGTGGGAGGCCCGGAGGTGCAGGACCCGACCTCCGCCGCCGCGCTGGGGGTGGGGGATGACGCCCCTGCTCCCTCCCCTCCCCGCGTCCCTGTTTCCCGACCCTTGAGCGTGTCGCTGAGTCACCTTCCCGGAACGCGCCCGAGACGTTCAGGACCCAGCCGGGGCTTCCCGGGGACCGCGCAGGGCGGAGGCGCACATCACCGGACCGCGCGTGTCAGCCGCGCCCCCCGCCCCACCCGGGGACCCCTGGCTCCCGCCCGCCTGCCCCCCACCCCCGAGTTGGGAAGCGGGGCCGAGCCGCCCCGGGCCTCCCGCGGAGAAGATCCGCGGAGGCGTGCCCGAGTTCGGGGCGCTGCCCGGCTTACTGGTTCCGTGCCCCTCCCGGACCTGCCTCTTCTGCACTTTAAGAAGCGATAGAGAGAGGTGTGTGGGGTCGGGCGGGACAGGTGTGGGCGCGCGAGCCTCTGCAGCCAGGGCCTGGGCCCCCTCCGCCTCCTACACGGGCTTGGCTTTTTCCTAACTCTGGCCCTACCTGGTCAGGGCACCAAGTGGGCCTTGCCAATTTCTTCCTCCCAGTCTCCGCGGTAACCCCGCAGGGATATAACTTGAGTTGGTCGCGGACACGTTCAGGTCACTTGACGTGATGTGTATATCACCCACACACTGACACACGGGTCCCCACTGGCCCCGACTTAAGCGACAACTTCTGAGCGCTTTTGCATCTTGCAGCGGAGCGGGGCGGGGCGCGGGTGGGGGGACACGCCCCCCTCAATTGGCTCTCCAATCCCGACAGGGACCCTTAGCAGGGTCTACACCAGCAAGCTTCCTCTCTCGCTCCCTCCTCCCGCCTGCATATCCCGGCTCGAAGCCCCCGTCCTGCCGCCTGCTCTGGCCGGGCCGGCGTGCCAGGCTGCCTCGGGCTCAGTGGCTCGGTGGCCGAGCTGCCGCGTCAGGGAGTTAAAAATAACCCTTCGCTGGAGAGCGGGAGAGGAAAAAAGAGAAGCCGCGGAGGCCAGCGAGGCGCCCCGGCCCGGAGGAGGGGCGCCGGCGAAGTCCGGGTCTCAAATTCCGCGAGGGAGGCGGCACGGCGCGCGAGGGGCGCCCAAGCCCGCTGCGGACGGCGCGGGCAGTCCTGCGGCGGCACCGGGCGGCGAGGGCGCGGCGTCGAGGTGAAGCCAAGCGTGGAGAGGAAGCCGAGGTGAAGCCGCGGGTGCCTGGCGCCCGCTCCAACGCCGGCCACTGAGGCCCGTTCGCGCCGGGCCGCGCCTCGGCCTGCGCCGCGCGCTCACCTCCGTGCGCCGCGGACTCCGCGCCCCGCCGCCCGCCTCCGCCACAGGCGCCGCCTTCTCGCCGGTCACCTAGGACGAGTGGCGGTGGCGCGCGTGGCCGAGCCGTGGGCGCGGGCCGTGCAGACGGCGGCCCAGAGAGGCCGGCCGGGGCCGGGGCCGGAGGCGCGACCGGCGCAGGTTCCACCCCCGCGAGCGCGGGGCGGGGCCAGGTCGGCGCCCAGGCTCAGAGCCGGGCCGCGAAGTTGAGCGAAAAGTTTGAGGCCGGAGGGAGGGAGGGAGGCCAGGCGTCAGCGCCAGCCGGGCTCTCCCGTTGTCCCGCAGACGCGGGGCAGAGCCTGGGAAGAGTTGCATCCCAGGGAACGGCGATGGCGCCTCCCCAGCAAACCGGACCGACTGGGTAGGGCGGTCCGTCCGGCCCTCCCGTCTCTTGCGGCTGCTTGGCAGCCCTCCTTCGCAGGGCTCTGGGGAACTGGGCCACGCAGCGCGCGGCCTTCGCACTCACTTGCCTCTCGTGCAAGGACAGGCGGCGGCTGGTGGCCAGGCTCCAGCGCGGCGCTCGCGTCCCCGGGCGCTGCTCCCACGAGCGCGGCGCACGTCCCGGGGGAGCCGGGCCCTTGGAGGGGCGCGCGACGGCTCCGGCCGCTCTGGAGTTCGGGGCAGGGGACACAGCGATCCGGGTCGCGATGTCCACTCAAGTGCTGGGATTTTTACGCAGCCGGGCTCCCTTTCCCCTGGTAGCCCCGCGAGGTGAGGAGCTAGTCCGTCGGAGAGAGCCACGGAGCTCTGACTCATGCCGCGGCCGGAACCCGGGCCTCAGAGAGGAAAGCCTCCCGGGAGGGCACTCTTCGCCTGGGGGTGGCGTTCAGCCCCACGACGGGGGCGCCCTGGGTGGCACCGGACCTCGACTCTCTGGACCTCCCGGAAAACTAGGTCCCAGACCCACGGACTTGCCGCGATGCAGGAGCGCGCGGCTCCCCGCGCGCGGTCCCAGGCTCTGGCCGGTCGCCCCCCGCCGGTCCCGGCCTCCGTCAGCGCCGTCTCTTCCTCTCCCTCAGGTCCGGCCGCCGCAGGGAATGACGCGGGTGCCCCCGCGGCCCCGGCTCCGGGCGGGGAGGGCGAGCCCCACCGCCGGCCCCGCGACGCCCGCCTGGGCAGCACCGATAAGGAGCTGAAGGCAGGAGCCGCCGCCACGGGCAGCGCCCCGACCGCGCCGGGGACTCCCAGGCAGCGGGCGCCGCCGGTCGCGGTGATGGATCCAGGTTTGTGGGGGCCCTGCTGGGAAGGGCTGCAGGGGATCCCCGGCCAGGAACGGCGGAACGCTCGGCGGGACGACAGAGAGGGGCTGGGGACGCTCGAGAAACACTCCGCCACGAGGCCAGAAGCCGCTGGGCCCGAGCACCGGCGGGGGTGCCAGGGGCGCCCCCACCCCAGCGCGCTCCGTCGGGCCTGCCCCTCTGGCCGCGGTCTGTCGGGTCAATTACCCGGGTGTTGCGGGCGCGTTCCCACCCCAGGACCCCCGTCGCTGTCCTCAGCCCCCTAGTGGCCGGTTGGGGACGCGGCCTTTTCGGGTTTGTTTTCCCAGCGGGCGGCCCAGGGCGCCTGCTCCCGCGGCCCTGCCGTGTGCTGGTGCTGCTGAACCCGCATAGCGGCAAGGGCAAGGCCCTGCAGCTCTTCCAGAGCCGCGTGCAGCCCCTTCTGGTGGAGGCCGAAATCTCCTTCATGCTGATGCTCACTGGTGAGTGTCTCCCGGAGGGGGGCGGGGAGCACACCCTGCCAGGGGACCCCCGGCCTTAATAGCTGCGTCTCCCGGCAGAGCGGCAGAACCACGCGCGGGAGCTGGTGCGGTCGGAGCAGCTGGGCCGCTGGGACGCCCTGGTGGTCATGTCTGGAGACGGGCTGATGCACGAGGTGAGGCCTGCACCGTGAGGCTGGCCCGGGCTTGGCACTGTCCCTTCCAGGCTGAGGCCACACTGCTCCAACAGGTGGTGAACGGACTCATGGAGCGGCCAGACTGGGAGACTGCTATCCAGATGCCACTGTGTAGCCTCCCGGCGGGCTCTGCCAACGCTCTGGCAGCTTCCTTGAACCATTATGCCGGGTGAGATCCCAGGGCCAGAGTGGGCCTTCCATTCCCTCTTCTGCTTCAGTCCTGGGGCCCTTTCCTTGTGCCCCCAGCTGGCTGCATCCACCTGCTCTATCTGTCACGGTTCCTGCCAACTCCCTAGGGACCACACACATGTGGCATTCATTGCCTGTCCCGGGAGGAGGAAGGGAGGATGCACGGGGGCTCCTGCCCTGCTCTATCTGACCTCTTCCCACTGCAGCTATGAGCAGGTTACTAACGAAGACCTCCTGACCAACTGCACACTGCTGTTGTGCCGCCGGCTGCTGTCACCCATGAACCTGCTGTCACTGCACACGGCCTCCGGGAAGCGCCTCTTCTCTGTGCTCAGCCTGGCCTGGGGCTTCATTGCTGACGTGGACCTGGAGAGTGAGAGGTATCGGCGCCTAGGGGCGATGCGCTTCACCGTGGGCACCTTCCTGCGCCTGGCAGCCCTGCGCACCTACCGGGGCCGACTGGCCTACCTTCCCATGGGAAGAGCCGTCTCCAAGACACCCACCTCCCCTGCTCTGGTCCAGCAGGGCCCTGTGGATGTGCACCTGGTGCCCCTGGAGGAGCCAGTGCCCTCTCACTGGACGGTGGTGCCCCACCAGGACTTTGTGCTGGTGCTGGCGCTGCTGCACTCGCACCTGGGCAGCGAGATGTTTGCGGCACCCATGGGCCACTGTGCGGCTGGCGTCATGCATCTGTTCTACGTGCGGTCTGGCGTGTCTCGGGCCACGCTGCTGCGCCTCTTCCTGGCCATGGAGAAAGGCAGGCACATGGAGTGCGACTGCCCCTACTTGGTGTATGTGCCTGTGGTCGCCTTCCGCCTGGAGCCCATGGACAGAAGGGGTGTGTTTACAGTGGACGGGGAGCTGATGGTCAGCGAGGCTGTTCAGGGCCAGGTGCACTCAAACTACTTACAGGTGGTCAGTGGTTGCACGGAGCCAAGCCAGGAGCCCCAGCAGATGCCACCTCCGGAAAAGCCCCGTGACCCCTTGGGCCTTGCTGTGCCTTAGCCTTCTACTTGGTCTACACAGAGCCCAGGACCCTTCCTCTTTGCCTCAGGACTGGAGGGCCTGTGCATAGCTCATGTGGGGTCGAGGGGGACTCTTCTGGGGAAGGTGGGAAGGTGGAGGCTTTGGAAGGACAGGCAATGCCCACCAGAGACCAGAATGAGGTCTGAAGTCCTGGGCTGGGACCCCAGCTGGCTGGGCCCAGCTGCCTGTGGAAGGCACTCCCATTTTGTTCTGAGACCGCCATACCATGAACTAAATCAAATAAAGTGACATTCCCAGCCAGCTGGTCCTGTCCTAAGGATTGGGGAGGGGAGGGGGTCTTGCTCCAGCCAGGACTACAGAATGTAATGTTAATGACAGCCAGTGGTACCCCCAGGCATAGCCATTTTGGTGGCAGGCCCAGAACCAGAGCTTGTGTAGCTTCTTGTGCTAGGTGTGGGACTCTGCCATGCTGACAAGCACACACCTTCAGCCTGGAGAAGTCTCAGAGCTTGGCCAACTACCTGACCACACACAGGGAAAGACTGAGGCTCGGAGCTGGTATGTCTTACCTAGAGCCACGTAGCCAGCTAGTCTCAGCAAATCTGGATGGAGCCCCATGTGGATTTAACAGGCAAAGGAAAAGTCTGAGTTAAGGGCATTAGAAGATCGCCGAAGAGCAAGAGATTTTAGAAGTCAAAATGGCAGGCAGGTGTTCCTTTTTTAAGAGTCTTTTTTTCTTTTTTTTTGAAATAGAGTCTCACTCTGTTGCCTAGGCTAGAGTGGCATCAGCCTAGCTCACAGCAACCTCAAACTCCTGAGCTCAAGTGATCTTCCTGCCTCAGCCTCCTAAGTAGCTGGGACTACAGGCATGCGCCACCATGCTCGACTGATTTTTTTTCTTTTTCAATTTTTTTTATAGTGCTTTACAATCCATCAGATCAATGATTTTTTTTCTATATATATTAGTTGGCCAATTAATTTCTTTCTATTTATAATAGAGACGGGGTCTCGCTCTTGTTCAGGCTGGTTTCGAACTCCTGATCTTGAGCAATTTGCCCGCCTCAGCCTCCCAGAGTGCTAGGATTACAGATGTGAGCCACTGCGCCTGGCCAATTTCTTTCTATTTTTTTTAGTAGAGATGGGGTCTCACTCTTGCTTGGGCTGGTTTCAAACTCCTGACCTTGAGCGATCCTACCGCCTCAGCCTCCCACAGTGCTAGGATTACAGCCGTGAGCCACTGTGCCTGGCCTACAAGAGTCTTTTATCCCCCCTAATGAAGGGACTAGAGTTCCCCAGGCCCAATCAGCTGTTTCTGCCTGTCCTCACCTGTCCTTATAGAGACGAGTGCCAGGCAGGAATTAAAAAGCAGCAGCAGGGAGGGGGCAGATACCAGTCTCACAAAGTGGGCAACCATTTGGCTTAAAGCCCAGGGGGGTGACACCTGCTTACTGCCAGGTGCTATGACGTCAGCTCCCCCAGAATCTGGAAGGAGCTGAACTGGTCACTCTGGCCTCTGGGGAGCACAGCTGTTGGTAGGCAGACACGCTATAAACTGTCTTTTGAGGGATACATACACCACCAGCCAGGAAGAGGCAATTAGACTGACCCTATGACACGAAACACAAAGGCATTCAAACAGGCTGGGTGGGGGCAGGTGCTGTCTGCAGTGGTCCCCTACCTTGCCAGGGAAGCCAGGACCCACTGCCACAAGCCTTCCCTGGCAGCAGGGGTGCTCCAGAGAAGAAGAAAGGCAACAGAGCCCAGATGAATGGCAGAGGCAGGTTTAATGGTGTCACCTTGTCTGGTTAATGAGCCAACCAAAAAAAAAAAAAAAATGCAAGTAAAAAAAATTTAATCACACAGCACTTTATACAGTATTGTAAGCAATAGGCATTCACATCTCCACATGAACGATGCACTGGGAAGCACAGCCCCACCAGTCACTCCAGGTGTTGCTCAAACAAGATACCGACTCTGGGCTCCAAAGGCCGCGGCCTGTGGTCGGCTCCATCCTTGTCCTTCCGCAGCTCTGCGGTCGGTGGTCATGGCACAGCACGGTGTGGAGCCCACTTAAGGCTGACAAGACGCATCATGCTTTGGCTTTTTTTTTTTTTGTCTTTTTTTCTAATAAGAGTTAATATCTTTGCTTTTGAGATTTTTTTCCAACCTTAAATATTACATACATACACCAAAAATTACATAGCTGCAGTGTGCTCAACAGCATCCTCTTAACCTGGAGCTTCACATTATCAAAAGCTTAGAAAACTTGTAAACCTCTGGGCCTGTCCTCTGGGCAACAGGAGAGCCCCGCCAGCGGCCACCCCCTCTGGATCGAACCTGCAGTTTGTAAGCAAAGGGCTGACAGGAGGCCGCGCTTTAGTGCGAGGGCTGCTCGCTCTGCGTTCAGTGGGCTGCACGCCACGCACGACCCAGTGTGGCCATGTGATGGAGGAGAGGCCCCAGCACTCGCCCTGGCCTCGTGTTGCTGCTCCTGCCTTCTCGAGCCAGAGGTGAGGCTGAACAGGGAACAGACACCTGCTGCAGCCCACACGGGCGGGGCTGAAAGCCAGAACTGCAGACGTCCCCAGCAGCCTCAGACAGGAAGAACAAGGCACCTACAGCCTTTCCTGGCAGCTCCCTGGTCCTCAACTCCATGTTAATGTGTGAGAGCCACCACCTCTCCTGGGTGTCACCCTGAACCTACCCTGGTCCCAGCCTCTCTTAGAGAGCAAGTTCAACAGGCCTGAGGGCTATGATGTGGTAAACAGGCCAGCGCAGAGCCGGGAGTCAGTGACAGCAGCTACAACTCCCAGAGGACAGTGTCGCTGGGGGACTAGGGAAGATTTGGTGGTGGTGGCAGCGGGAGGGTCTGGGACACGGGGAGGCTAAAATTGAACTGAAGAGGTTAACAGGGACCAGGGGAATTACTGGAGCAACCCATACTTCATGCAAGGCCACCTGCAGGGCACCCAGCCCAAAGAGAGCTCAGCATCAGGCCCTAAAATACCCACCTCTGACCTGAGAAGGGGACAGCAAGGGAGCAAGTGCCGGGACATTCTGTCTGGGGTGACAAGTGTAAAATCAGCAACAGGGGTCTGATTTTCTTTGACGCGGGACCCGCCTATTGAAAGATCGCTTCGGAATAGAAATGGCAGCATCTCAAGACACTTCTTGCACTTCAGCATCAAACTCACCTTGGGAACAAGAGGGTAGTGAGGGGCTTGCATGGGGGGCGGGGGATGGGAAGAGGGGAGATTCCAGGGAGGGAGTGAGCAGGCAGCAGCTGGCCTCTCCCACTGTGATGCTCCTTCCTCCAGGGCTGGCGGCTACTTGTCCTCCGTGCTCTCAGGCATGCCTGCCTCTAGCAGGGCAGCCCGGAACTGCGCCAGGACACCCCGGATGCTCTTGATGAAACCCTTAGAAAGCGGGAAGAGGGGGAAGCCGATGTCAGGGTAGCCACTCTTCTCAGGCAAGAAGCTCCGGTAGCTCTTTCTCCGCTTCTTTGGTTTGACACTGGGTGGCCCCGAAGCGTCTGGCGCAGTCTCCGAAGTCTGGTCCGTGTGGTCCCTGCTGGCTGAGGCTGGGCCCTGGGCACCGCCCTCTGAGTCTGAGCCCTGGGAGGCCTCTCCAGGGGCCAGCCCTCCATCCTCAGGTTCTTGTCTGCCGGAGTCCGAGAGCTCGGCTGCAGCTGGTGGCTCCGGTGAGCTGCTAGACTTGGGGACCCCATTGGGCAGCGCCTGGGTTCTCTCCAGCAAGGCGTGAGTTTCCAGCCAGGACTCGATGCGGTTCACCAGCCGCCAGCCTCCGGTGCTGAAATGCTGTCGTATCTCCTGCTCGAAGACCTCGGGGGGCCGCCGCACCAGCTGGGTCATGGACTGCACCACGCGGATCAGTGCCATCTCGTTGTAGCAGCGACTGTTCTCATAGCCCTCCTGCAGGCCCCGGTCACTGTCGAAGCCGGCTTCGTTGTAGTATGGTTCATTCACCAGGATCAGACCTGCGGGGCAGGGACGCCTTTCCTCAGCAGGTGGGAGAAGCCCATGGGACAGGCCTGCCCACAAATCCCCACAGGACAGCCAGTCACTGTGCCCTGTAGTAGCCTTCCCTGACACCACCCCACCCCAGCCCGAAAGTACCTTGGATGGAGATGAGCACCTGGAGAAGACTGGACTTGCTCGTCCACCTCTCTGTCCCCTGAAACACACACACGGCACCGTCAGCTCTGCCCCAGACCAACCTCCACGCCCGCCGGCTCTCCCTGCATCCTGACTGGGGGGCTGGCGCTGTGCTCACCTTTCCAATCCAGGTGCCCAGCAGGCTGACGCACACCTTCCCATTGTCATACAGGTTGGGGTTCAGGCGGCCACTGCACTGGGAGAGGTAGCAAAAGTGGGGGGGCACAGCTGGGTAGATGTTGGGGAGCTGGATGTCAAACAGGTAGAGGCCGTCCTCATAGGGGGTGCGAGTGGGGCCCTTGATGAGAGCTGAGAAGAGGTCCTGGAGAAGGGAGGGCGGGTTGAGGTTTGGGGTGGGGTGGGGGCTCCTACACCTGGTATCTGGCTGCACCCTTGTCCAGGGCATTGTGTGGATCAGGTGGGAGAACACGTGGGACCCCAGACGTGGCCGGCAACGGAGGAGCTGAGCGCACATCTCTGTGCGCACCCTCTCTGCAGCTTTGAACCGTGGCATAAGAGGAATTTCCCAAACTGGTTTGTATCTTATCAGGTTTTTTTCCTCATAAATCATTACTTTAAGATTGTATTTCTCTGAATAGCTGCTCTGACCCCCCCACCCCCGCAAAAGGCAGGCAACAACAATAAGCAGTTAGAAACTGAAAGAAAGTTCTAGGGTGGCGAGGCTGCACTTGCTTTTGAGGGGCTGGGAAGGGGGATGGTCTCACAACCAGATGACAGTGAGGGTCTGAACCCAGGGGAAATGTTGGGAGACCACCAGAGAACTCAGGTCACTGAGTCCTGAGAGTCAATTCAGACATCTGGAACCGTGTGATCTCAACCACCAGGGCAACGGCAGTGGGAACTGCCAACAGCCAGGGCAGAGCACCAGCCAGGAACACTCCTGCGGATGTCCTCTGCGTGGCTACCCTGAAAGCCTCAACACGATGCACCGCTCTCCTTCCCAAGTGCGATTTGGGAAAAACAGCAACAAAACAAAATATACTGCTCCCCCCACCACTGCAAAGCTGAGATAGGCTGGGGTTTTCAAAAGGAATTTTACTAACACACAAGAAAAAAAGCCGGGTGCGGTGGCTCATGCCTGTAATCCTAGCACTCTGGGAGGCC